CCTCAGTTTCCCCCTTCGGGCTAGGGAGGTACCAGGCATCTCCGCAGGCGAAAGCGGGAATGGAGGGGCGCAGAATCGTTCTGTGTGCAGGTGTCCTCCCCACACGTGCCCGCACACCCTACAGATCCCCCTGACACCCCGGAGAGAAGAGGGGCCTGAGCCCAGGTCAGCAAGTCCCAGCGCAGTGCCACCCCCCTTGTGCACGCAGGTCTGTGCACTCTTTTTTTCCAGTCCATCCTGGACCACTGTGTTTACAGAACAGTAAAGATGAACTCTGGAAGCATGAAGAGAGAAGTCAAGGGGTTTNAAAGATGAACTCTGGAAGCATGAAGAGAGAAGTCTAGGGGTTTTTTTGTTTTTGTTTTTTTAAATATATCTTTATTGATCTCAGAGAGAGGAAGGGAGAGGGAGAGAGAGATAGAAACATCAATGATGAGTGAGTCATTGATCGGCTGCCTCCAGCATGCCCCTGACTGGGGATCGAGCCCACAACCCGGGCATGTGCCCTGACCGGGAATCGAACCCTGATCGCCTGGATCCTAGGTCGATGCTCAACCTCTGAGCCACGCCCGGCTAGGCAAGTCTAGGGTTTTTAATCATGAGATCCATCTCACGTGTTACTCTGTTCGTTTACTATTATGAAGGTTTCTGGGTACTTAACGGGCAGTTCTGTACTCCCCATTCCGGACCAGTAACCGGACCCATTCACGGGCCTCATTGCCAGTGGCCTGGGACTAGGCTTTGCCCTGGCTCTGTACAAGGAAATTGAAGCCTAAGAAGTGGAAAGTGTTGGGGAGTTGGTGGCAGAGTGACCCTCGGATCCCTGGTGCTGTCCTCCCACAGGGTTAGAAGGCCAGTCAGGCTGTGGGTCCATCTGGTGTGCGGTGGAGACCTTGCTTTCTCTCCTGCAGGGGCAGCTGTAGGTGAAGTCCAGGGACTTCCCCTTCCTGGGGAAGAGGCGAGGGGACCCAGGTCGGTCCTTGCCCTTCACACGGCAGACCCACTCTTTCGGAGCCATGAGCCATGAGGGGTCCGGGTGGTGGCATTTGACTGCCTCTTAGCTGGGGTGGGGTCCGGGGTCAGAAAAGGGTGTTGGGTTACTGGACCATGGTTAGAAACAGCCCACAGGAAACCATAGCTGCTGTGCCTTTACTGCCCAGTTTCTATGCATTATGCAGCAGCTTTTTATTCTGCCTCGGGCTTATTAAAATTTTAGTGGCAACAATGGCAGGGATCTCTGGGGTTTCTTCTCCCTGGGAGGCAGCCTGGAGGGGGCCAGTTTTCAGGTAAAGGCTGGAGGCTCCTTGGGGGGGCATCCTTTCTACTCTGCATTCCGGAAGTGTCCAGCAGGCATTGTCTGAAAGGGTAAGCAACAGTTGTGGCCCAGGGCTAGGCACTTCTAACATTCATTATTCAGTGTTCATGATACTCTGTAAGAAGTATTGCCACCACTTACAGATGAGGAAACTGAGGCTCCGGGCATTAAGTGTCTTCCCCAAGGTNTCTTTGCTTAACTCTTATTTTTCCCTTGTTCCTGTGAGCTCCCCAGGCTTGGTGAAAGGGCAGAAGCTGGCTAGAGAGAGTTCCCCCTCACCTTGTGAGGTATGAGGACCCCCCCCCTTCATCTACACCTTGGCCTCAGCCTGGTCTGGGCTGCCTGTGCCTCCAGGCCCTTGCCCTGTGGAGGTGGCAGGACAACAAAGAGCCCTTCTGAACAGGAGATAAGGAGCTCATTAGGGCCAACGGCCCAGCCCCACCCTGTGGCAGCAGCAGGGTGGGAACCTGGGCACCCCTAGGGGCAGGCAGTTCTGCTGCAGTGCACTTGGAGGGTGGGAGGGATGAGGGGGTAGGAGGTGGCTGTAACAAAGTGTTATGTTTTTTTAAAATATATTTTTATTGATTTCAGAGAGAGGAAGGGGGAGGGAGAGAGAGAAACATAAATGATGAGAGACTCTTTGGTCGGCTGCCTCCTTCATTCCCCCCCACGGGGGATTAAGCCTGTGCCCCAGGCATGTGCCCTGACTGGGAATTGAACTTCGATCGATCTGGATCATAGGTTAGTGCTCAACCACTGAGCCACGCCGGCCGGGCTGAAACAGTGTTTTGTCTAAAGCCACTTTTCCTGCGTCCAGCACCCCAGCCGTCGCTCCTCCACCTGCTCCTCAGAGAAGGGAAGATGAGCGAGTCGAGTTCGAAGGCCAGCCAGCCCCTGGCCTCCAAGCAGGACAAGGACGGCACTGAGAAGCGAGGGCGGGGCCGGCCTCGGAAGCAGCCTCCGGTGAGTCCTGGGGCGGCGCTG